GGGAGCTCTCTACAGGTGCATGATGGGAATGGCAAGAAACAGAATAGCTAAGAGTTTGTTGAGATTCAGTAAGAAATTCTGGATGCATGTAATGCTTTGCTGGCAGAACGTGACTGTGTAAGCGTAGAAACCAAAATAATTATCAGTCATTAGATCCTTTATGGAAAAGTGACTCTGAAAACAAATGCAAGCTTTTTTTCGTTCGTGGCAGGATTTAAGACACAAAAGGCAACTCTCTTTCATCTCCTACACACACACAGAGTTTTGGGGAAATGTGGGGCCGTGTTTATATCAAACGTATTTTGCAGCTCTTGCCAGTTAGTTTTGGGCACTTGCAGGTACTTCTGAGATCCACAAGCTTGTAAAACAAGGACAATTCCTCCTTGAATGAGCTTGCCTGGTCCACTCGCCCTGAGATCTTGAGATTCGCTGAGATAAACTAAAAGTCATGCCTACTATTCTTTTAAAATTAAGAATTCCTTGAAACAAGATAATCTAAGTTGGATTTTCTTTCTGAAGCACACAATGCAGTGGTCACATCAGCCATATTTGCTCCCAACCCTGGTTTGATGATTTCACTGGAAACTTCTGAAAAGCAAGAAGCTGAAAGTAAGGGAGAAGATCCTGAAACCTCAGATACCATACCCTCTGGTAGGTGTTTTAGATGAGCTCTGCTTGATGCCATGGTATGAGGAGAAGATTAGGAAGAATGCTTTCAGTGTGGGAGGGGGTTTCTTGAGAAGGAAAGTCCTTGCAGGGGCATATATATTGGATGTGGAGGTATATTCCTGCCTTAGCAGATGAACATTTTGTCAGCTGTTGCTTTGTTAAAACCTGAGAGGATGTGAAGTGAGAGGCATAGCGGCTCTCCTGTGTACTTTGAGATTATTCATTTCACACTTGAGCTGTTAGGAGGTAGAGTTGTCCCAACACATAATGAAAAAGTTCCTTTCCTAGAAATGCAGATGTTTCTGGAAGTATTGGCTAGATAAGAGGAATGTGATAGAGAAAGAAGGGGGTCACAGAGATAGCTTACCTTTTAACGAGAGCTTGGTTTATTTGTCCTTTTTAATGAACTAACAGTTTATTCTCTTTTCTTATTAAGGAGCTTTGAAGACGGATCACACAGAAGTGCTTTTATCGGCTGACTTTACTGGAGCAATTAAAGTCTTCATTAACAAAAAGAAATATGTATCTTAGTTGTTCTGCAACTGACAGCATAAGGCTATGGTACTCTGGGAAAAATGTTCCGTAAATAATGTGGGCAAAAGCAAAGTATGTAATATAATAACATTATAGGCTGATTTATTTTGAAATCTGTATTTTAAAGCTACTCAAATATTGGATCCTTTGAAAGCAGTGTCTACCTATTAACACCTGGGCTTGTAGAACAGAAAGGAATGTGTAAGAAAATCCTGCCAAACATTAGACTCTAAACTTTCTACGAACAGTTGTTTTGTAATGTAATTGTGAACCTGCAACGGGATTCTGCACGAAAACGTGTTCACACATGTGTGTGCCTTTTGGTTACATGCACTAATTTGAACATATGTCAAAGGATTTTAGTGGTGCTTGTGGCCACTAGATGTCAGGAATGGAGATGGGAAGGGAAGGTTGGAGGGCTGGCTGGAAAAACGCTGAATGATCTCGTCTGATCTTTGCACAAAACTCCATTTGAGAAAGATCTTGAATTTGTAGTAGCGATTGTTCAGAATTTTAAGTTATGCAAGTTTTTGATGGGTCAGCAACCATGTGTAAATGTTTTTATAAATTTCTCAACTTCAGGACGTTAAAAGAAAAAGAAAATTGTTGTCTTTTAATTGTTGTGGACTTTAGATTCCTTTCGTATATGTAATTTTTTTGCACACTGGAGCACAATACTTGTGTAAAGAATTCTCTCATTCCTTGTTCATGGGCACCAGGATATATTCACCTTCCAGATAAAATTAAGCTGCATTAGAAAGTTCTTATATTTTACAACTATGTAAAATAAACTGTTTACATTTTTTAAGCATTGTAGCTTAAAGTTTTAAGTTGTTCTTGTTTGTTTCGTGCCACTGAATTTTGAAAGTCTTTGTAAATATTCATCTAAAACACCTATGAAGTAACATTCTGGGCATCATAACCCATGAAGTGTTATTGATGGTCAAGTGTTTCAGAGAACAGATGTATCATTAAACTTGGTCACACACTTGGAAATTGTTGCTTCTTTTACCTTTTCGTAAATTTACCTTTTGTCGAAGTAGTTTTGACCTGTTTCTCGGGTCATTAATCCTGCATGCACTTGTTAGCTTTTGAGTTCTGCTTCTCCTGATCTTGTCACTTTTGTGATAACTTGCTTTCTGAAGTAATGGGGAATGGAGTCCTGCAACTGGATATTAAGCAGCATTGAGGAGCTGTATGATAGTTCAGTGTGAGGAAACTTCAGCTGTGTGTAAAGCATCCTTTCCTTCCCCACAGTGGAAGAATGAAGGCATGGAAAGGCAGGAAATGAGCCTCATTCTTCCTTGGATTATTTTTACTCAGGTAAATTTGACCATGCCTTTGTGTAAAATTGTCTTGAACAAGAAAGGCAGTTGGGAGGAGTATATCATCAGATGAATTTTAAAAATGGTACCCACTATGTAAAATTACTTCGAGTTGATACATTTGGAGTAAGTTTGACTCTCAGGTTTGAACATACCTGTAGAGGGGAGACAAGCTAAACTTGAGATTTTTGTTGATGCTGTGTTGAGCTCTGCTGGATTGACAGAAGTGAGGAAATGGAATCACAAAGGAGTTTCTGTAATAGATGGTATATGTAGAAGACTGTAATTGACTGACTGCTGTGACCTGATCCCAGACACTTCTGCAGTTTGCTATAGATACTCTACATATTTAAGGACAAATGCAAGCAAAGAAGTGGCTTTGTACCACAGGAGCACCATCAGTTTGCCTAGAGGCACCTTCTCTCCATGGTCTTGGCACATAAGGACTTCCTATCTCTGGAACTAGACACCCAGACTGGAAAAAGAGGCACGTGTGCTTTGCATTGATTTGGGGGGGTGGGGGGTGTATACTTATTTTTTCATGTGTGCCACTGTCATAGTCTTGAATTTCTTGTACTGTAGTTAAAGTAGCAATTGCAAAAATTTCTAGTCAGTAACGAGAGGAGGGAGCACTTACTAGCTGGTAGGAAACACAAGTCAGAGGATGTGTACAAGCCCAGCTTTTCAGAGCAACTGAGGACTTTGCTGCTGTCAACATGCAGTTTTTGATGCAGATTTGGGACTAAGCGAGCTTCAGAAGAGATCCTACAATGTTAATGGCGTGCATCTTTGCAGGTTGTTTTAGAAGTTCTATGCAAACAGTCTCCTCTGTAATCTCTTCACGATCTGAATGTCTGGGTTGGGTTTTTAGGTTTAAATGTGACTGCTTTGGACACAGCTGAGCTGTATCTTCACCTTGTAGCTGCCAGAAGCTCTGTTAAGGTTTTGTGTCGAACCTGTTAGGTAGTCAGGTGATCATGAGAAAAGGTTATTGTTGATTAGCCAAGATCTTCTGCAGGCAGTAAACAAAGCTGATCTTGAGGAAGATGTTTGACTTCCATTTATCTTGGTATTCAGCTTCTAGCTAAATACGCTCACAGTGCTGGTGCTTATTTGCAGGGATCTAGCATTCTCTGCTCTTTCCCCAGCTGAGCTGTGCTGCACATGTTTAATGGT